CATAATTTAACAAAAACACATTTAAAGCTTCATGTAAGGAAAATGAAACTAATAATGCAGCAAGAGACGATAAAAGAGATTCATTAGACCGATTTCGTTCTTCGAATTAGATGGCTGACTCCGGGTGATATGAACCGCAGTATGATGCGACTTGCAGGGCTGTGGTGGGGGAGGCTCACGCCGTCACGTTTTCCCACCGTCAGGAAGGCACTGGGGCACTAATCTGTGGTTTGTGCAGAGCCTCCTAACAGGCAAAATAGTCCATCACCACGGTCGGCAAATCACGCTTTCAGGCTCACGCAAGAAAACTTACGGCAAATTCAGTTATAAACTTAAAATTAGCTAGACCCAAAGCGTTGGGGTAGCTTGCAAACCACACAGACTATTTATTTAAAGCAAATTACGAATTTAAAATGTCACACCAGCCAGCTGACCAAAGTTCAACCCTGCATCTTTGGGATTCATACTAATGGCTGAACTGGAGCAGTAACGGAAATGACAGAAGATCCCAGAAGGTAAACGGCGTCTCTGGTGCAGGGCGATTTCCGCGGAGCTCTGCGAGGTCCTGCCAGGGGACTCGTCATTCATTCACCAGCGACTTTAATCAGTGTCACATGTCAGAGGTGACCTAGATGGATGAGGTTACTGCCATATTAAAGCCTACATGACCTGTGCGGGGGGGGGGGGGGGGCAATGACGATCACACCACCTACGCCGATCAACATCCCAGATAAATCTACATTTGGAGAGAAAGACTCATCTGGGTTCCATAAATTGGACAATTAACTGTTTAAGAAGAGAGGTGTTCATCTTGTGTGCTCAGAAGGATGCTGGTTTGAATCCCTGGGTCAGCCAAGTGATGTCACCAAGGGCCTTAACCCCTGGGTAACCCTGCTTTCTCAACTCTCTGTTGCCTTGCATCAAGATGTCCAATAATCAGCTCTAGCATTTAACTAACCTGCAGAAGTCGTTTAGACACCCACCCACAAAAATAATCAATGGGCAGTGGTTAAAGGCTGCGGGGGGGGGGGGGGGTATCTTTTCACATAAAGTTGCATGTAGATGGCCTTGACTGGGAAACAAAGCCCTGGATGGAGGCTGCACAGCCACGTTTCTCCCAGTGGGGCCTGGATGGGGGGGCGGGGGGCAGTGCGAGACGGGTCCTCACACGAAGTGGGCAGCTAATTGGACGCTGGCACAGAGGTCATTGGGAGTGGGAGGCAGAGAGTTGGTTAGCATGAATTGTCACCTGCTTTTAAAGCTTAATGCGGGGGTGGGGGGGGGGGG